CAAAACTATAGAAGACCTTGTGTTCGGGCGTGTCGCACTTAAGAAAAAACGCCCGATTTTCTGACGCGCAATATACCCCCCGGATTGCAACCGATTTACCAATCACAACCCTCGTCCCTACCCTTTTCCCAAAATTTCATCCCTTCCTTTGTCTTCACTTGTCTGCTAACCGTGAATCGGGAAACATCCTTACGCTTCACCCTGTCTCAAGTATTACCTAATAGTGAGTTATACTGCACTTAATCGCCTTAAAGTTCGCCCTAGTGTTACTTTATCATCCCCGCATCTTTATATGGAATTTCAACTCTTCCGCCGCCGCCTTGAACGTCGCGTTCCACTTCATTCCTGGACGGCATGGTCCCAGTTCCTTTATCGCCCTTCTGTTTCTTCCTGAGATCTCCTGGTCTCCCCGGACATTCATCATCTTCCCATTCCTTGATACCCTATTACTCCGTGGACCCTCATCATCTCACTGTCAAACATCGGAATCGCCTCATCTTATCATCACCGGCGCCGGATTGCATCATCCAATCTCATCATCATCTTCATTCTCAACGAAGCAAGACAGGGCCAGGGGGACCGCGGTAGCCGAATGGTTAGCGTGAGAGACTCTCGGCTCATAGACGCCGCGGTCGCGGGTTCGATTCCCACCGTCGCCTCTGGCCCTTTTTTCACGATAACCCCCCCCCCCCCAATATGAACATATATAAGAATTCGTCACCATGGTTAATATGCATAGATAATAAGGCCATTAAAAAAATAAATAAAAAAATTTTTTAAAAAAAAAGCCATTTTGAATTTTGGTTGCTGGCGAACACCTTGTTAATTTCAAAATTCAAAACCTTACTACAAAAACTATGGAAATATACCTGTTCAAGTATATTATATGTTGTATATATCGTATATTTTTTGTTTAAAAATAATTAGTTTAAGATACATGGAATTATTATTATTAAATGAGAATTTTTGTGAACAGTACTTCACGCACCTATAAGGCCGTGAAGTAACGGGTTTTTGTTGTTGGAGACGCGCTTGACTACAAGGCTCAGACACAGCTTCGCTACCGCACGTGGTCGAGACAGACCCGCAACCGTGTTTAAAAAGAAGTGTGAGAAAAAGAAAGGCAAAACGCGGTAGGCAAATTATTGGTGATTGAAGAACAAAAACTGAAACCATACCAGCAAAAATATTCATCTGCTAACAACGAAGACGCCGACTTGCATTTCCTCATGAGCTGTTGCCATATTTAAGGAAAATACCCAAACAAAGAAAAACGTTCGTACGAACCAAACTGCAAAACGTGTTTTGCGAGGAAGAAAACTACAAGGGGAGTATAGAGCTTATAATACTGTTTCAACGGATTCTGCAGCATGTTCTTCTCAAGCCGCGTCCACAGCACGCCCGGAAAAGCCGAAAAGTGTGGACGTGCTGCCCGGCCTTGCCGATGTGCCGAAAGCCGACCCGAATAATGCCGAACCCAGCCCGAAATAGCTCCGGTTCAAAGAAAGCCAAACCGAATTGAAACGAAGTACATACTGTGGACGGCTCGACTTCTAGTAACTAAACATGGTTGTAAATGGGGCTTTCTCGTCGGCCGCAACACCACCAAAAACTAATACGGGTGCTCCAAGAATCGGTAAAAAAAAAAAAAAAAAATACATTCTGTTGAAGAAATAATTATTCTTTCATTGGTAAGACTTGACAAAAATAAACAAGAATAAAGGGAGGACGATGACAACCGTCACTTTTTGCTATCCTTGCTGCCAATTACGGCATCACTTCCCACGATACGTAATTCGAGGTGTAGGCTTGAGCTAATGCAAATAGTAAATAAATAGGAGGAGCAGGCATCCATTGAAAAGAATCAGGAGCCCTCAACAAGTTCGGCTCCAGTGTATTATAATTTAGAACCACGACACCACCTTGATATGCTGCAACCTACGCAGTATGAACCGCCAAGAAAGCAGCAGCAATTACTGCAGCACTTCAATTTTTCAAATAATAATTAATTACTTTCAATCGGAACGGCTAGGAGTCATTTCACCAGTTGATTCATTGGCTTCATATGTCTCCAACTTTTCAGAGGATTCTACTTTGTAACGCGTTTGTTCTTGAAGTATTAAATTAAAGTTGTGGTTGTTACGTGCTGCAGCGGAATAAGTGGCAGAAGGCCACCTCATGCATAAAGCCCGGGGAAGTCGTTTTCATCAAAAACACTCGTACCTCTCCACTTTCCTGGGCCATAGGTAGAGTACAGATCTTTCCTGGCCCCGACTCGTGTACTATAGTGCTCAAGGTGCGAACTACCGCCGGTTCTTTCATAAGACCTGTCCACAACTTACTTGTACTTCCTCCAACTGACTAAAAACCTTATTTACTTTCTCCTTGCATATCGTATTTTTTTCCTTCCCAGAACCTATCCTTGTTAGTTGTAGAAAACGAGGAGGACCGAGGTGTAAAAAAAAACAGAAAATGTTCTGGTAGCTATAGAAGGAATAATTGAAGAAAATCCAGGCTACACATTAAAATAGACAAAGGAAAAGTTGAGAAGACAAAATATAATCATGAGCACAACTACAATTCACAGGGGGTTGATCGATCTCAAAATTACTCTTTAGAAAGCATCAATCGAGGTGGATCGGATGAATTCCGCAGAAAATATAAAAGGAGAATTTATATTCTCTAAAACATACAAAGAACATATTAAACACTTAGATGTAATTTTTGAACGTTTACGAGAAGTAGTTAATCCTCAAAACATCCAAATAGCACAACAAACTTGAAATTTATGTTCGTGCGTGTCGCCGTCAACGAAAACGCCCGACTTATGACGTGCAATGTACCCCCCCCCCGAATTGCAACTCCGTTTACCAATCACAACCCTCTTCCCTCATTTTCTCAGCAAACCATCTGTTCGGGCGTCTCGCGTGTACGAAGACGCCCGATTCTTGATGCACAATATACCCCCCGCATCATCACGTTTTTTCTCCAATCACAACCCTCGTCCCTACCCTTTTCCATTTTTTCATCCCTTCCTGTACGTCTCTTCTCGCTCTCTTTTCCCGTTAACTGCGATTCAAGCAGCATCTATACAGTGTCAAGTTACCGCGTGTATCAGTTGAAATCAAGCCTTTCCTATTTAATCGTCGCCGAATTCATTATTGTGTCGCCTTGTCATATCCGCTAATTCCGCTACTCAAGCATTGAACGTCGTTTTTCTGTCACCGCTTTCGAGCGCAGGGTCCCAACCCCATCTGCTCCTTAATATCCGCCATATTCCCCAGCCTTTCCTGATATATCTGGATCTTCCTAATATAACTGGATCGTCACCGCTATCATCATCGCCATCGGATTGCACCCGCCAACATCACGCTCGTGGTGGTTTCTACTGGATCAAGACCGAGTCAGTGCACTGATCTCATCATCGCTTCACTTCGAAGTCGTACAATCCGCCACGTGCCTTCGATCAGCCATCCTTTACGCAGTGAGTCCTATCTACCTTTTCATTCCATTATATCTATAATATTTCAATCGCTTTCATTAAATCGGGAATCCTTCCTCCCGTTGGTGCCGAAATCTTTCTCACGTTTCCTAACTTAAATTCCTTCCTCTCGGTGGTGTTCGTCGTGCGCCATTTTGAATTGGTTGCTGGCGAACACCATCCCTTCCTGCCTTTGTTCTTCTCCCTCACTTGACCCCGAGGCCCGAACTGTTAACGTGGAAACAACTGCGTATCCATCGTTGTCGAAAGTATTGCACGATAGTGATTCACCGCCGCTTAAAATGACTGGGAAATCAAAAGTCAGTCAAAACCGGAGACACCCTCAGGGAGTGAACAGCCGACTCCAAGAGACGATGCGGAACAAAAGCAATCGCACTCCGTCGGAGACTCAACAAGGGAACTCAGCCAGCCAGAGCCAGCGAGGACCAGCCGTTGCGACCTTTCGAACCAAGTCGACCGTCGAGAAATAGACGGAGCTGAGGATGCTGTGGACACTATCGTGGCGAGCGTCGTTTGTGGTAAATCCCTTTGTTAATAAACTAATCCCAGATTTAGAGTTGTGGCTGACTTAGATTGATAAAGATTTTGTTGATTGGATAGAGTTAAGAGACGGAATTTTATTACAATAATGTTAAGGAATATATTCTCTGGTTTATTGAATTCTAGAACCTACAACCATAAGGCCAGCCCCCACCATGGACCGGAGAGCGTTGTCGAACACTTCGTGGCGACCTGTGGAAAAGAGAGAATCGCCCTGCCGTTTTATTTGGAGATTTTTGTTGTTACCGATCGCCTAATATTCTCAACGGACATTCGCCTGTCTACCCCGGAGGAGAATGACCTGTCCGAGGAAGCGGATACGACGAATGCCGACAGGGAGTTCACCGGGTTCGTTTAGTGTGCTGAGCTGGACGACTCCCTTTTTCGGGGAGGTGTAAAATCAAACCAACATGACAAAAACGAAGAAGTAACGAAGGAAGAAGTTTTTGTTATCTTACTTTATTTATTTATTTTAAATTGTTCGGGCGTGTCGCGTTTACGAAGACGCCCGATTCCTGATGCGCAATATATCCCCCGCATCATCATTTTTTCACCAATCACAACCCTCGTCCCTACCCTTTTCCAATTTTTTCATCCCTTCCTGTATGCCTTTTCTCGCTCACTTTCCCGTTAAATGTGATCCAATCAACATCTATACGGTTGTCACCTTAAGCTACTTGCACACACACCGATTTCGGACGGCCGGTTTTTTATCGGTCTTCCAAATTTCAATAGTGAACCACAGGGGGGAATGGTACCTGGCACACACGCCGACCTCTGATCGGCACCGGCAAAATGCCGGTCAGCTACCGGCATTTGTCACTGTACCACCGGCACGTCACCGGCATTAACGGGAAGCAGTGGCCTACGTGACTAAATACACGCTTGCACACTCACCGATTTTTTACCGGCCGACCATTCCAGTCGACTGCTCGGAGACCACGTTTGGTAGTGCCAGTGCGTTTAAAGTTTGCAATGTGTGAGGTTCTTGAAATTGATAATGATATTTTAATATCATTAGTGGAGGCAAGACCGGTTTTGTGGGACAAAACATTGAACTCATTTAAAGATAGAAATCTCACCCAGGACGCATGGAGAGAAGTTTGTTGTGCTTTGCGAAACGATTTTGAGGATATGGAGGATAAGGAAAAAAATGCATTTGGTAAGTAATTTTCTGTATGTTATGTTATATTGTCCTAATTACTTGTTTACAATACATGACTTGTTAAACATATAAAATAATAATTGAATATTATATAAACTATTTAACAAAAGCTGAAAATGTACCCAACAATCTCAACAAATTGAAACTTATCACCCCTTTTCACTACTCATGTCTATCATACTTTACTCATTTGCCAGGGAACTGCCCCGATAGGTGTTACAAAGTATTTACTTAATATTTTTCGAACGTCGTTAGCTTGTAGACCACCCCGTGCTGTTGGAGCTCTTGGCAAATCTTCCAAACCACTTATTGTTGTAGTATCTTCTGGCAAATAACCGTCCCGCTCACGAACAAAATTGTGCAGAACAATGCACGCTTTTACAATGTCAACTGCAAACTCTGGTTCAGCGTTTATAGGTCTGTGGAAGATGCGCCATTTGTTGCTCAATATCCCAAAAGCACACTCGACATAACGCCGAGCCCTACACAAACGATAGTTAAATATTTTCTTTTCAAGCGTTAGGTGTGTTCCACCGTAGGGCCTCATTAAATGTGTGTGGAGACCAAATGCTTCATCTCCAACAAAATAGTAAGGAACTTTAGGAGATTCGGTCCCCGGCAGGCATTTTTCTTCAGGTAATTGTATTGAGTTTGTCTGAATTGATTGCCAAAGAGTAGATTGCTTGAAAATGGAGGGATCACAATCTTTGCCGAAGCTTCCAACATTAACATACACAAAACGATATTTTGAATCAGCTACTGCCATTAATACTACAGAGTAATAGTCTTTGTAATTAAAAAACATGGAACCACTTCTTATTGGGCAATTTATACGAACGTGCTTACCGTCAACAGCACCTATGCAATGTGGAAAATTGGCATTTTTTTCAAAATCAGAAGCAATGGTTTCCAGTTGATATTTAGAGAGTTCACGTATACACTCATTCTTCATAACTAACCAGATGGCTTGGCATACTTCTTTTACTATTTTCCTTGCAGTAGAAATCCCAACTCTGAACGAGTAATGTAGGTCGGTAAAGGTGCACCCACTAGCAAGATATCTAGAAACAAAATTGGTGTAGTGTCACTATCATGCTTTATGAAGATGTTTACAATTTTAAACACTAATTATATATAATTTTTCAGGAAAAGAAGTAACAAAGAGATGGGGAAACCTTCGGGATGCTTTCTCAAAGTCAAAGAGGAAGCTGAAAGAGTCAAAGAAAAGTGGAGCTGGTGCCCGTACATTTAAAAACTACGTCTACGCTGAGCAAATGCAATTTTTAAATAAATTGTTTCAAACGAGGGAAGTTGTAGACAGTTTAGATGGTGGAACCGAAAACAATGAAGACGAAAATGTTGATGCTTTACCAGGAGCCACAGTACCCCCCAAGGAGAACCCCAAACCTCGAGAAAACAAAAGACGTCGCCAGCCGGATGAGGTGGAGATGAAAATTATTAAAGCACTAGAAGAACCTCCACTTAGTCCTCACATTTTATTTTTTCAAGGGCTTTTGCCACATTTAAACAAGTTCGACGATAGCGAAGTTCTTGAATTTCAAATGGGTGTATTGGAAGTGATTTCCAAAATTAAAAACAAACAAAAAAACACTGCTCAACCTCAACTCCTTCCACGGGGAACACCTTTCTACTATCCTAGCAATTATCCCTTTCCACAGCATCAATCATTTCCCCCTTCACAAATGTCTTATTCCAATCAATTCAGCTTCAAACCACAAGAGCCCCAAACCTATCAGTCCCACCAATTCAAATATCCCCTGAGTCACAACTACGATTCAAACCAACAGCAGGCCTGCTCTTCAAAAGGGAAGGCAGTTAAACATCCGCAAGGGCAAACGACTGCACAATATTTGGCACACGAAGAATTTGGCAGAACATCTCCAGAGACCTTTCCATCAGCGAGCCCCTCCCCAGCTGGATCAGATACCACTTACGACTTCTCATAATTTCATATTAGTTAAAAAAGTGATTTAAAAAAAATGGTTACAAATAATATCAAATTGCTTGGACTTCTTGTTTTATTGTGGTAGGCATCTTGTGGTTATGTATATTTATTTAGTACATTGGGAACATTAATAAAATTTTACTGAGAGAAAGCATTATATTATATTATATTGTTTACTACTTACCTCAATGTTAAAGCAAGCCTTTCTCGTGAAGGGATACAGTTTCTCATTTTAGTATTCTGATGTTGGATTTCATTTTTCAACTTCTCATGAAGTTCGTCAAAGGATGCAATAGACATTCTGAAGAAGTTGAAAAACTTACTACCATCATGTCTTAATTCTTCAAAAAGAGTGTAGAATATTCCCGTGTGTTCTCTGCTTCGATTGATCGGATGAATCCAGTACTTGCGCTTAATCCTACGGCGTTTAATACGGCGGTATAATAACCACATTGCAGCTACTCGATTAGGATTCATTATTACGTATTACGTCGTGACTGGAATGGAACTGACTGTTTGACCGGTAAAAATCCGGGTAGTGTGCCAGCACCTGCTATCGGTAAAATATCGGCCGATTTTTTACCGGCCGTCCGAAATCGGTGTGTGTGCAAGTAGCCTTACAGTGTATCGGTTGATATCAAGCTATTCCTATCCAATCGTTGCTAAATTCATTATTGTGTCGCCTTGTCATATCCGCATCTCCGCCACTCAAGCATTGAACGTCGCTTTCCCGTCACCGCTTTCGAGCACATGGTCCCAAACCCATCTGCTCCTTAGTATCCGCTATACTTCCCCAGCATTTCCTAATATACCTGGACCTTCCTAATATAACTGGATCGTCACCGCTATCCTCATCGACATCGGATTGCATCCGCCAACATCACTCTCATCGTGATTTCTACTGGATCAAGACCGAGTCAGTGCACTGATCTCATCATCGCTTCGCTTCGAGATCGGACAATCCGCCACGTGCTTTGATCAGCCATCATTTACGCAGTGAGTCCTATCTACCTTTCATTCCATTATCTAATTATTCTTTCAATCACTCTCATTAAATCGGGAATCCTTTATTACCGTTGGTGCCGAAATCCTTCTCACAGTTCCTAAATTAAATTCATTATTCTCGGTGGTGTTCGTCGTGCGCCATTTTGAATTGGTTGCTGGCGAACATAAATAATTTGCACGAGAACTTGTTTATTTTGTAAGGCCTTCATCATAGTGTCTTAAGTGTGAGAAGAGCGCATATTGTAATTATTGTCCCCTTTCATTTTCGTTATTATTTTGAGTTCCTGTTTTGAGTCATCTAGTAATATAAAATCTCTTTTGTTGAATACCATGGGCTAAACTTAAAGAAGTTAATAAAAATAATGAAGACCTCATGGGATGAGTAGAGACAATGCTGCGTGATCACTGTTCCAATTTCGTTTAGGGATGGTTATGGTCCATCTCCAAGTCCATCGATGGACCTGGTTAATTATTAATTTATCTTGAAAAGATGTCTGATTCAGAAATGGATACATCTTCAGTACCAAAAGACATAGGGAGATCACTATTGGCAATGACAAAGTGATGTTTCATTATACCAATAGGGAGCCCTTCTTTACTGATGTTGCGTCTGTCATCATAATATTTCTAAATAGAGGCTCCAATTGGAAGAAGATGGTAGACAAATCATTTGAGGAGATGAAGGTGCTTGTTGACTGGCTAAGAATTAAGCTAAGCATTAACATTAATGACCGACAGCCAGGGAGACTTATTGGCCCAGATGTAGTCACAGTAGTTGGTGTCGAGCTTTCATTGTGAACGGACGTGCCTGTGAGTGCTCCTCAGACGACGACCAGTTGAACCAGCAGTGCCGTGACCTGGTGCGCAAGGATCACCACCGAGCGGCCTACTATGCGGGGAACCGCTACTTCAGACGCGAGCTGCGTAAAGCAAAACGCCTCAGTTGGAGAAAATTTGTCGAAGAGCAGGACTCCGTCAATAAATGGGGATTACATGCAAAAGTGGAGATGGGCAAAATTAAACCCAGACACGCTCTTGAGTCCTTCGGATGCCACGGACTGCAGGCCGCAGGCCAAGCCCTACTCGAGTCTGGCTTATGGTGGACGACCCGTCGACAGACGAACCAGCTCATTCTGCCCTAAGGGAGAGAATGCGCCGTATAGCTGGTGGCAGTTATTTCCCTTGCTGGAATGACGAGGAAATACTGGCCGCAATTAGTCGCCTGCGAACTCGGAATGCGCCCGGGAATGACCGGCTAGAAGCAAGTGCCGTCAAAATATGTTCAGAATTAATATGATGCGTCTGCGTGAGACGATAGACAGTGGCCTTCACCCTAGCCAATTCGGTGGAATGTCTAAAAGGAGCACCACTCACGCCATAAGGAAGCTGATGGAGCGCGTATCAGAAGCAACGACCAAATATGTAGCAGAAATCTTTTTTGATATCCGGCAAGCGTTCGATCGCATGTGGTGGCCGGCCGTGCTGGACAGTATAGAAAGCAAGGGAGCTAGCCAGGACATCCAACGTGTCGTCTCAAGCTACCTGAGTGAACGAACGGCCACCCTGCGCGAATATGGCGAGACGTGTTCAAGTAGAGATGGGGATCCCGCAGGGGTCTGTCCTGGGCCCATATCTCTGGGCAATACTCTTCGATGGTCTCCTCAGACGGTTCGAAGAAGTAGGGCACTCAGCAATCGCATACGTGGACGATCTCGTCGTCATCATCCCAGCGGAAACAAAGGCAAGCATTGAAAATACTGGCGCGCTGGCAGTCACCGAGCTCCAAAAATGGTGCCGCGAGTGTAAACTGGAAACAGCCCCCGAAAAAACCCAACTTATGCTCCTAAAAGGCAAGCTGAGGATACGATCGCCTCCCGTTGTACGCCTGCTCGGTGAAACAATCAAAGCTACGCAGGTTGTTACATACTTGGGGATCCGCATAGGCGCAGGCATGCGATTTGGAGATAACGCCCAACACACGAGGCAATAAATGCCGTCGAGGATAGCTGCATTCAAAGCGTTGTGCGGTGCTGCGTGGGGAATCTCCTACCGTACCCGGTCTACGTCCGCGCTTTGTGACTCAGTCATGTACTATGCGGCCCCTGCGAGGGCACGAGCACTGCGTTCTACTGAATGGGAGACACTCAAGAGCGCGCAACGTGCTGCGCTGCTGACTTTAACGCGAGCTTATCGAACGGCCTCTACGGATGCTATACAAGTCTTGGCAGCCCGACCACCAGTAGACCTTCATGCCCGATACTATTGCGCCATATGGGAACTACAAAATGGCATAAACCCATGCATACCGGTCACCAATGCGAAAGAAGCGTCAGACTGGCTACAGCTGGAATGGAACAGAAGATGGGATGCCTCCAATAAAGGGCGCCACACGTATGCCCTCCTACCTAACATCAGCTGCAGAAGAAAATGGAAGCATATTGAGCCAGACTACGACATGTTAAAATTACTTCGTGTAAGTTAGCCCATCTGAATCGGTTTGCCTCCCGCATTCCGGGAAGCCATTGAACGTGAGAATCGGTGAGGTATTTCATAAGTTATTTAATATAAACTAATTCGGTCTCTGAATAAGTAATAATAACTGCAATATCCAACGGAAAGTGCATCGAATACCTTAATGAGATATATTATTGAAAAAAAAGAAAAGTCTCAAACTGACGCTCACCCTATTGACGCATTTTTCCAAGGTTTAATACCGACAATAAAAACGTTTTCTCCATACTACCAGCATTTAGCAAAAGGAAGAATTTTTTCAATAGTGCAGGATCTAGAGTACGCACAAATGCAGACATCCCCAGCAGATGAATCATCCACCAGTTCCACATCAACTGCTCCACCAATCCACCCGAATCCAAACTGGACTACAACACCTGACGCACATCCAAATCACTCGCCTGCTCTACCACAACAACCAGCAAAAAATGAGATGAGCACTTTTTTTTCTCAGTTCAATGAACATGACTATTAAAGCATTATTAAGACTATAGAATATTTGTACACGTTTCAAATACATGTGAAATTTGTAAGTATGTTACTTTTGTTTTAAATACATATTTTAAGTCGGTAATTATTATTTATTCTTATCTATTCTGATCCGGTTGTCTATATTATTATTGACTTACCTGAGACACACTGCTAGTCGCTCAGATGGCGAAATGGGCTCCTGAAAGAATGTCTTCTGTTTCGTGAGGCCACTTTTCACTTTTAGAAGTAAAACGTTGAAACACTCCCATGACATTCGAAAATAGCCAAAGAATTTACTTTCGTCATCTAACAACTCTTTGTATAGTGTGGCAAATTCTCCCTCCAACTTTCGCTTTCGCCAAGTAGGATGCACGCCCCATCTCCTCTTTGCTGTGTGAAGTCGATCAACATGGTTTTCCCTTTCTTCTTCATCAAGTGCAACGGCAATTGCTGCTAGTTCAAGTTCTGAAAATTGCATTTTGCTTGTTACCCACTCACCAACACTCAGCCACGGTTCGCACGGAACTACTACGGAACAGCATGCATAAAGGCTCGGACTCCACTCGGACGCTATGGCTCGGTTGAGACCCGGGCTCGGCCCCGACACGGTATAGCGTGAATCATCCTTAAGATAATCACCAACTATGACGAAGAGCTCGGCAGGTGGGGTGAGATGCGACCGTTAACAAAATAAAGAGAAAAGAAAAAGAATAGATTAATGATAAGAACAGGAGAGGGGGAGAAAAAGGAGCTGTTTTATTATTTTTTATTTATTTATTTACTTTTTTTTTCCATTACCCTATGCACCGACCACCCGGGCGCTGTAAGAAGCCGAAAAGTATCAAGGAACCGCTTCGGCTTGAGCGGTGAACCGCGAGGAGATTACACTTATTTTTAGCCGCCACGTGCTAGCCAGCTAAGTACAATTACTCGTTTTTGTTATATATTCGGTGTTTTCCACTCGGATGTGTGGGAAACAGGAAGAAAGAATGGAGACGGAGTCGGAGAAGGAAAGAAAGCTAAGGAAGGAGACGGAGCAGATGAAGACGGATAAATAATGGAGAGCACTCCTCTATCCACCGGCTGCACCGCTTTGGTGCGCTTTGAAGGAGATGAGGATGCTCTCCGTAAGGAACAGGGTGATACAGACGCAGGATTCACCCTGGTAAAAAGAGGTAAGAGAGGCGAGCTATCCAGGAAAATGCACAACAAGGGGGGGTCGCTCTAACCCTCGAAGGAGTGGGTCCACACCAACCATCCAGCCACCTTTTAAGGACAGGCTCAAACATAAAAGAGGCCCACAGGTGAGTACAACCCCAGTTCAAAAGAGACTGAGGACCAGTGCTAAAACAAGCAGGACGGAGTACTCTAATACTCCTTCCTCCCATCGAAGGACGAGGAAATGAAGGTAAACCCCGCTAACGCGGAAATAGGTAAGGGAGATGAAGTCTTTAATGTGCCAATCACCAATATCTTTGCCGGTTAAATCCTCCGTCTTCCTCGAGCCGCGGTAGAGTGAACATCGCTCCCCACCGCTCCTCAGCAGAATCCACTTTTGAGTGGTTTGATGAAGGCTTTTTATTTTGAAAATTAGCAGTCATATACAGGTATGTGTTTTGTGCATGATATCATGTTTTTGCATGTTTTGCGTAAGGATTAGTGCGCGTATGAGAAAGTGTCACTTAATCGGTGAACAACCTCGCTAGTGATCGTGAAAATTTGTCATCGTGTGGGAGACATTGTCTTACGGAGTTGTGTGAAATTTGAACAAATTCTATCGAACAGTTTTTCGGTTATAAATAATTATATCGAATCCGCGTGTTCGAATTGGACCACGTGGCCCTCGTCCTTGTCCGCTCACTTCCGGTTAGTTTCCCGCCAGATTTGTCATCTTCGGTGGGCATCTTTCCGGCTTCGTCTCGTTTGATATCTTTTGTCCCTCCCCTTCTCCGCTATCTCATTCATCTCTTCATTTTTATCTTTACTTCTGGTTGGCACTTCTTCCCCTTACATTCTCCTCTGTTCTGTTCTTCACCCTCAGTACTTTCGGCATCTTTTTGGTAATCTTTTCGTATTGACATCTTCATTCCATTCTCTTCATTCCCATTTCCATTGTTCTTGGCCAGTCTTTATATTCATTTTCATTATCTTTTCAGCTGCCAACCTGTTTGGCATCATTCTTCTCAATACTATGACATCCTCCCTCCTCCTCAGACGTTTCCGTTTATCTACACGTTTTTTCTTTAAATTATCCTTTTAAATTTATAATTAAATAAACTAAATAAATTTTAATTCAATTTTCATCTACTAATAAAATTGACGATGACGGAGAATACACAGGAGTTGCCTTCTTATGCCTGGACTCTCCAGAGCGCCACGCGTATGCTGACGCACTGGCGGAAGCTAGTGTGATCAAAGGAAAAATAGCGCTTTATGTGGTGGAACCTGCCAATAAATGCCCTAAAGCAGCTGCCTCCACTATTATCGAACTTTCTAATAATTTGTATAATATAGCACAAAAGATTGCTCAAGAAAGCCCTTCCTCTGGGGGCGGATTGAGCAATCGAAGATGATGAAGGAACAAGAGAATGCAGAACATCAGTGGTGGCTACAGCTTTCCCTGAGGTTGTAAATGCCATTACGGCTTTACAAGAAAGCTTAGCCGAATTACGTAGCTGCAATGGGCTGAAAACTAAATCTACTACGGAAAGCAGACAAGACATTAGGCTAGGGCCACACTGGCGGGATTTCACGCTGCGTTTCAGCGTGAAAAGACGCCAGAAAAATAGACTACCCTGTTTCAAGGCACGATGGCCACACGCTGATGGGATTCCCGCTCGAAGGGTGGGGTTGGGGCGCGTCTTCAAGGTCAGCCGCCGAAAGATAGGACTGGTTCCATATTTTCACGCAGTCTCGGGTGGCCACACGTGCGTGAAAAGAAGCGGCGGCGTTCGTGAACATTTCCCACTGTTCATTACACCTCGTCACTATTTTGTCATGGAGCTGGACAGTGAAGTGATATTAATGGAGGTCCAAAAATTTCCTTGTCTTTATGACATTAGGTTACAAGACTATAAAAATCGGGAGTTGAAGCGGGATTAGCTGTTTCCAAAGCAGTAGTGAGTGAAGAAAAGTGGGAAGAACTGGATGAAAGCAGCAAAACAAATATTGGTAAGTACTGTTTATAAACTATTTATTTGAATAATTTGAAATAAGTATAACCGTTAAGTAACCAATCGAAAGTTATGTTACAACGCGCCCTTATTCTGGGATGTTGACGTAATTATTTTGCCAGGGTTGTGACCCTTCAGCAGAACAAAAGTAATTCATAAAACTATCTCGTACGGTTTTACCATTATTACTTCCTCTTGTACCAAGTGAGGGGATGCTTTCCAAGGAGCATGACAATGTGTCGTCAAAATTATACCCGTCATGCCGTCTTACAAAATTATGGAGTAAGCAACATGCTTGAATAATTGTGTCAGCAACATTGATGTGGACATCGATGGGGCGATGTAAAATTCGCCACTTATTTGATAAAATCCCAAAAGCGCATTCTACATAACGTCGGGCCCTTGACAATCGGTAATTGAAATTTTTTTTTTTCTGAAGTCAGGTTTTTCGCAGGGTATGGTCTCAGCAAATTTTCACTTACTGCAAAAGCCTCATCAGCCACAAACACATACGGCATTACTAATTGCAATGGATCGTTAGGGAGAGGGGCGGGTTGTGGTAAGTTTAAAGTTCGGCTGTATATCTGTTTTCCAACTTCGGTTGATTTTAATATGTTACAATCTCCATCATGGCCGAACGACCCTACGTCTATGTAAGTGAAGCAGTAGTTGCTATCTGCTACAGCCATTAACACCACGGAAAAATACTTCTTATAATTGAAATATTCGCTCCCTGAACCCCTCGGCTTAATCATTCTGATGTGTTTTCCATCTATGGCCCCAATACAATGGGGGAAGTTGGCTCTTTTTTCAAAATGATCGCTGATATTTATCCAGTCTTCAATGGTCGGTGGATGTGTAGATACTCTGTTTTCATTTTCGTCCATATAGCTGCACATGTGTCTCGAATAATTTGGGCAACTGTAGAACGACCCAGAAGAAATTCGAAATGTAGTGATCGAAACGAATTACCCGTCCCCAGATACCTGCAATGATTTCACATAATTACTTTCATTCAATGAACAACACCATTCAAATTATATTGATTTAGGTAGGTAGGTGCTTGTTTTACTAAAACTTTAATTTGTGTTCGAAAGTAGTAACCTTGTGCAGTAGGTATAAATGATAATAATAATCATTATTAGTGTGATTAATATCGCGGAATATTGATTACCAAAAAACGTATTCTAATTTCCCAAGTGTTTAGCCTTTATTTTTTATTTTTTTTATTTATTTTTTTTTTTTGCAGGAAAGGAGATACAAAAGCGATGGAAAAGCATGAAAGACAGTTACACCAAAAATTTGAAGGCTCAAGAGCAACGAAGCGGTGACGCTGGAACCCAAAAAAAAACCCTATGTTTACCATAAACAGATGGCTTTCCTTCAATCTGTCATCAAACAAAGAGCGTAAGCAATACCGCAATACCAACAGCAATACCGCATTTTACGTGTATCTTTTCGTAAAATCAATTCTGTTTTATTTTTAAAGAACTGGCGGAAATATGAATGACGATGGTGCAGTTGAACCACTTTTAACCCCTGGACCGAGTTCTGCCCCTGGACTTGCCTCATCACGACCTTCAAACAAAAGGAAATCTGATCCGTTTGAGAGAGACATAATTAATATTTTGAAATCGAATGTGCAGCAAACTCCCAACTGCCAAGATACCGATGAAATGTTTTTATTATCCCAAATCCCTTTTATTAGAAAATTAAAGCCTTCAGATAAACTTGATTTTCAAATTAGGTTCATGCAGTTATTACAATCATATTCCGCTCATTCACAACCACCTTCACCCAGTCATTCATTATGCAACACCTCACCCATCTCTATTACAATTCCATCACATAATGCCCAAAATTCTTCGGCTGTTGTTTCCCAAGAAAATATAGCACCACTTGAGGAGAATAATGTGATTTCGGATGATGAATCAATCATTTCTTTTTTTAACATGTAATGTGGGTTTTAATTAATTATTTTTATTTTTTATGTAAATTGTACTTAATAATGTGGTTTAATTGAATGGTGTCAACATGATGTACAAAATTAATAAATCTTACCTTAATGTTACAGCGAGTTTCTCTTCTGCAGTGACGCAGTCCCTCATTCTTGTATTGATATATCTCCCGTAACTTTAGACAAAAGAAGTTCAAAGGAGGGAATTGACATCCTGTAATATTCAAAAAACTTCTCCGGGTTTTCTTTTAATATGTTGTGAAGCAACACGAATTTTCCCTTTGATGCTCGATCTGTCAATACTGGATGAATCCAACATCTTCTTTGCCGGCGTCGGCGTTTACGGCGTACGACAAGCGCTGCACAAAGTGCGACAATGGCATTTTTATTTAACGTAATTTCATTCATTTTAAGAAGCGCTCACCTCAAAGGTACACGATGGACTGAAAACCAGCGTGTGTGGCCAGGTTCAAGCTGGATTTCACGCGCGTGAAAATTTGCTGGTGTGGCCCACTCTGCGGGAGCTCACGCTAGCGTGAAAAAAAGCTGCGTGAAATCCCGCCAGTGTGGCCCTAGCCTAAGGGTTCCAAAAGAAGTAACACCGGCTGAACTAATGGAACAGCTACTGGCTAATAATGAATTAGGCCCGGAGTGGAAGGAGGATGCCCTTAGACCCTTATTTACCGTCAAGTACGGTAGGGGTCCTCGCGAGTCCTCCTCTTTCGTCTCCTGGGTAATCGAGCTGCACCCGGTAATTTGGTCACTAGTGAAAAAAACAGGCAAACTATACCTGGACTATCAATCATGCCAGGCTGAAGACTATCTGGTAGTAACTCGATGTTACAATTGTCAAGTTTACGGCCATGTAGCTCCTGTTTGTCCTAAAAAAGCACCCGTGTGTGCCAGATGTGCAGCTTCGCACAACACAAGGGAATGCAAAGAAACCTCTAAAAAATGTGTAAACTGCATTAAGATAGGGAAAAGCCATACCCATCACGCAGGGGCCCGTCAATGCGAAGCACACATGAGGGCGATGATCCAACAAAAAGAAACCACAGATTACGGGACAGAAGTAAAAACTGCTCACCTAGTCACAGCTCAATCTATGAACATCCCAGCATCAGGCACATCTATAGGAAATTTAATCTCATTAGACCCAACCGAGCCGGAGTCAAGTAATATACAAAAAGACAATGCCTAGAACAATTGAAGTTTAGTTTGAATCAATCATGTAGCACAGCCTATGCGACTAAATGTGGCCCAGTTGAATTTTATCGTCTAACCTTAGAAAGCTTGAGCAATGCAAAAAGAAAAACAAGCGAATTGCCTGGTGGACCGAAGAGCTTGCGACTCTCAGGAATGAGACGGGACGAGCGAGGAGAGCGTATCAACGTGCCCCAGGAGTCCCCAACAGCGCGAACACCTAAAAGATGTCTACTCCACAAAAAGAAGACACTCCTATAGCAAGATGAGATGCAGTAAGTAAAAGATCGACTTGGAAGTCTTTCATTGAAGAAGGCGACAAAGAGTCAGCTTGGGGCTTCCATACAAAAATCGCCTTTAATATGTTGGTGTCGCAGCCGGTCATGGTTGCTTGGAACCCGAATATATCATCGGTGCGGTGCAATGGAGATGTTCTTTTAGAAGAGGCTTTTCCGGAGGACCCACCTGAAAGTGACTCAATGAGCCAGGGGCTGGAGAGGCTAGACGCTTCGCTTCCCTTTCCGTCGCCTGACCATACACCATGGTCCTTTGAAGAAGTTTATTCAGCTGTTAAAAGCTTAAGACGGAACACTGCACCAGGCAGCGACAGAGTTGAGGCATCAGTCGCAATGGATACAATCGAGGAAACGATTGATTACCTGCAGCAGATTTACGCCGATTGTCTTAAGCTCAGTTATTTTCCAATGACGTGGAAGACGGCTACAATAGTGGCTTTCGCTAAGGCCGGTGGTCTCCCTGAGCTTCCAGGATCTTATCGCTTAATCTCCCTCCTTTCGGTTCTGGGAAAGATACTAGAAAAGCTCATGTATAAAAGACTGAAGAACAGTAACAACGGGGCGTTTCACGAGTGGCAGTTTGGCAGCAGGTCGGGCGGATCTACCACCCATGCCATCCAACATGCCCTCCAGGTCGTGGCCGGCTCCCCAGAGAAGTATGTCTTGGGATTGCTTTTTGACATCCGCAAAGCTTTCGACAGGATGTGGTGGCCATCCTTGTTTACGTCAATGAGGCGACGAGTCTTCGACGGGGAGATAATGAACCTTCTGAGAAGCTACTTGAACGATCGGCATGCACACCTCGAGAGCCACGGTGAAAACTGCGTCAGAGGGGTCCGGATGGGGTCCATTCTTGGGCCGTTTCTGTGGAGTGTCCTTTTCGATGACCTCTTAAAGACTTTAGAGCACAAAAACATTCGTGCCATAGCCTATGTGGATGACCTGATGGTGGTCTTGCCGGGCAACACCAAAGCCGAACTCGAGCGTCTAGGTAAAGTGGCAGTTGACAGCCTGCAGACTTGGTGCAGATCAGTCAAGCTTGAGCTGGCTGCCGAGAAAACGGAGATGATACTATTAAACGGCAAACTGAATATGAGGTCTTCTCCTGTAATACCGGTTGATGGTATTAACATCAAGACACCGCCGCCGGAGGTTACTTACCTTGGTGTCAAGATGGCGAAAGGAGCTAAATTTACTCCCAACGCCACTGCGGCTTCGCAAAAGCGTACGGTACTTTTCAAATCTATAAGTGGTCCGTCCTGGGGGGTATCTTATAAAAGCAGAAAAATATACTACTCCGCGGTATGTGAGTCAGTCCTTCTCTACGAATTGTCATGGCTTGGAAGTCATCATCTGTGAAGCGCGGGTACTGGCTCAGCAGCAGGAAGTTGAATGCGGGGCGACGGGGTATTGACAGAGCCATGGGGGGTTAAGTGCCGACAATAAACAGTAAGCAACAGAAAGGACAGGCCGTACCTCCCCCACCTGAATATACAATATCCCTACGAGCCGCCTCCGCGAGGCCCATCCCGGACACAGTTGGTTAATTAAATAATCAACTGTGACAAAGAGCTTAGCAGATGGAGTGAGATGCGACCGTTAAATCTACGTCTTTAAATCTTTAAATCTAAGAACAAAGGAAAAAAAGAATATATAAATAATAAAAACAGGAGAGGGGAGAAGAAGGAGCAGTTTTTTTTCCATTACCCGGGCGCTGTAAGAAGCCGAACAGGCTCAAGGAACAGTGTACCAGGGGTATCCGTGGCGATGGGTAATTTATTTATTTATTTTTTATTTTCGGTTGTTTATTATTATATAGTTATTATTACTATCATCATTTTTCCATTACCCTTTCGCACTGACCACCCAGGCGCTGTAAGAAGCCAAAAATGCTTTATTTTTATTTAAATTGCTAACTTACATAATAGTAAGTCCTGAAATTCTAAAAATCAAAATCTATTCTATATCCCCTTCTATCGAACTATTTGCAATCAGCACCAATTATGAGAACGTGTCAATTTGTAAATTCTTTGCAAGTGGGCCTGTTTTCCAACTCAATTCATGTGTTTAAGAAAAGCTGTAAAAGCAAGTATGTAATAATATATAATGATGTAGAATTGTATGTTGTGATTGGCATTGTATGCCATACATAAAGATTATTATTATTATTATTATTAAAACAATTCTTAAAAGTCAAGATAGAAACCTCATTCAGGTGTCGTTTTACTTAGTGAATCTACCAAGATAATCGATAAAGCTTTGCAAATTAATCTGAAATCACACAAGCCCCAGCTAATGTATTACAATCATTAATTCAAAATGTGCTTCTATGCGAAGCCGTGATTTACAAGTGGAATATATATGGGAAATTAAAGAGAGAAGTTCGTGACAAGGGCGATCGAAGTAGGAGTAGCCCAAGAGGTTAGAACATCGGACAATGGTCGTTGGTTCGAATCCCACCTGCGATACAAATTTTTCATTTCCAAAATTGTCTGTAATTAATTGAATATTTGCCAATATTTCCAACCTTTCACTATGTCTTAATTGGTGAACATGGGCATAATTTGAAGAATAAATTTAACGTGGTTCAAGTTGAGGTGAAAAACAAGGTAATTTAGTCCTGCTGAAAACTATGCAACTAAGAAAAAGTTAAAAGAAAAAATATTTTACTTCAAATTTCCTCGATATTTAGTCTTTATTACATAACACCTTCTTCCATTCGTGACTTCCATTATTTTTTAATGCTTAATATATGTACTTTTTTCTACTTCATAAGCCACCTATATGTAACCTCATTTTTAAGTAATTTTGTAATTTCATATAACCACAAATCCAAACTATCTGCATGCAATTAATCGGCATAATAGTCTTTCCAAAGAAATGTGATTAATGACCATTCATTGGAAATCATAGCCCATCTTAAACCATAAAACACTATTTATTGAATCATTTTTTTGTGAACAAATCATATGATATGGTTGAAGTAATAAATTCTCCAATTATTGTATTTTTAAAAAATATTTGTAAAGAATATTTACGAATGGTCCTAAATCAGATGAAGAGAAGAAATAATATAATTCCTTGATTTTTGTATTTAAAAAGTAAATTATACTTTAATAGTAGCTGTTTCAATAAGATAATCAGGTTAATTATCTAAAACCTTCTGAACTGATTTTTAACTAAAATAAACTGGCACATGACATGGACTCCTGTAAGTAGTTGTAAGTATCTCAGCACTAACCTTGATAGTTTCTTCAGACAGCACTCGCATAAAAAAAAAATGTCCCAACGAATCGTGTCGAAGGCTAAGCTTTTTTTAATTGCTTGGTAGAGTTGTGGACGATTTTTTTCGGCGGCGCCCAAAGCAGGTTGTTGACATCTACAGTGAGCCGGGGTCGTTTGAACTGCGCCGAGCGGATGTGTTCCTCCACTAACTTCGGTGTCACGCATATTACATGCTGGCCTTTCCAATATTTGACCATATTCATACTCTGCAGGGTTGATATGATGTCAGTCTGAGTTATGCTTGTCATCTCGCTGTTAAAAAATAATAATATTAATAAATATATGGGTATTCCATTATAAGATTGTAATTTGTTTTTAAAAAAATATTTAAAAAAAGGTTTTCACCTCAAATCTTTAATTGATACCGATCCTCTGAAGTCTCGCAATATATCTAACAAAACCCAAGACCAATAGGACCTTAAAAATAAATTGTGATAAAATCTAGGGCTCAGGAAAAAAGAAAAACAAGAGAAAAAAACGGTTTACCTGTATGACAATTTTCCAAGATCACTAAGTGGTTTCTCAGGGCTACCGACTGACCTTTCCAATTTGGACAGTTCATAGCTAAAAGCTATTAAGAGTTTTCCATAACCTTGCCTCTGATAAGGAGGCAGTGTGAGGATGCAGGCCACATTGTTCCCTTCAGCCGATTCCTTTTCTTTTGAAAAATAGCCCACGAGGTGAGCTCCTTCCCTGTCGATCTCGCACAGTATATAAAATAGAAAGGGTTCTACGTCGAAGTAGAGAGTCTTGTGGTCGAGGAATAGCTTTGCCAAAAGGCATAAATTCTGGCAATAGACTTTCTGTGAACAAGCGTCCACCTCCCAAATTGCTAGAGTTCCTTTTCTATAAATTTCATTTCCTGGCGGATAACGATGAGGGCATACATCCTAAACAAAATCAAGACTTTGGACATTGTACCTGTTGTTAAAATGTAAATAAATAAGATGATTTTATTGGTAAACCAACGTACACAGTGTTCACGGTAGCTTCGCTCAAACCGAGCATATTTAAGGCAATACTCGCATATCCAGAGCTTGCTGACTTTGCTGAACTCATCTGGGTAGGGGCTGAAGTACCAGGTGTCAATTTCGTAAGCACCGATTTGTATTCTGTCGATGTACTTTACTTTTGTGAAGGCTTCATGCTCCTTTTCCAAGGCGGCAGTTGTCGGGTCCATTTCAGCATAAGTCTGTATGAAAAAACTTAATAATACAAACCTGTAATGTGATTATAAACTTTTTTTTTTACCTGCTGAACATGATTGATTTCATCATGGCGGCGTTTTTGGTTTCTCGTTATCTTTCGATCCGTCTGCTCGAGTAAAATGTCTGTCGAAGGTCTGTCTATGTTTTTCCATTGTTGTTCTGACATATCAAACCTCGAGTTCATTATCCTAAAACATATTTTCAGACCCTATTTAAAATGTAGACATTTAACACATGATCGTCATTTTTCTCATCCCACTGAGGTCATGCAGCAACCAAAAAACAAAATAACTTTCGTCATGACGTATTGGTTTTATTCAAAATTATTAAAAATAATATTGTTCCTCCCTTCTAGAATTTATAAATATTTTTGTGCCTAAATACACCACATAGAACTTTTTTACTGAATACCATTCAACTAAATATGGAGAACTCTTTAAGGAATAATGAATATGGCCAATAAATTCCCTAAACTGAATTTTTCCGTATCATTTATGATTTTTTTTTTTTAATAACTTACCTTGTAAAAATTTTCATTTTTTATGATTTTACTTTATACAATTTTTTTAGCACCAGAAAGGCATTTTTATTTACAAAAATTAAACACTGTACATTATTTCAAATAAATTAAAGGTTTACTTTCTATTTTATGTTTAACCCCTTTAAAAAATTTATAGTATTTGTACAAAACAGAAATACATATTATGTGCAGATTTATATTTTATTATTAATTATATATTATTCAGGGTGTCCCAGTTCCTTCTGACGAAACTCAGGGAATCGATTCTACTCTTCATTTGGAGCAAAAAATGCCCAGGAGAAAATTTTCGGAAAGTTCTCTATTTTGAAGATATTCGTTAATTTAGGTTTTTTCAACTTTTCACTACCTTACCACATAAAAATGCTTACAACTTCCAAAATATTGAGACTGCAACAAATCCAAGAGTTAAAAAATAACAACTGAATGTTCGAAAACGTGAGCTAAGGTAAATTTGAAGGGGGGTAAGAAATAAATCAATTAGAACTCGCTTTGTAAAATAATATTAATTAGTATTATTATCTTTCAGTAACACACCCTACCTGATACATTCTGTGATGATTATTGTTTAAACTTCAATCCCATCCAGCATTTTTCATTCAACCGGTCAAACAAGTGTCATTTTTATTTTACAAACCGAGTAGTAATTAATTATTTCTACCCCCCCCCCCACAAATTTACCTTAGCTAACGTTTTCGAACATTCAATTGTTATTTTTCAACTCTACTAGAACGTTATTTAAAAACCTGGATATATCAACGTAAAGCATATTAGATGAAAAAGTTGTGAAATTTGACAAGTTGTAGGTATTTTTTTGTAACCTCACTAGAACGTGCAGTCATGACCAAAATTTTAAATTTAGTAATTTTGACATGTTCCAACTGATATTGGCGAACATTTTATATCACTCAGATTATTGCAAATAGAAGTACCTTTACGCAAATTTAGCGTTCTTTCAAATGGTGTAATTGGATTTGTTGTAGTCTCAACATTTTGGAAGTTGTAAGCATTTTTATGTGGTAAGGTAGTGAAAAGTTGAAAAAACCTAAATTGGCGAATATCTTCAAAATAGAGAATTTTCCGAAAATTTTCTCCTGGGCATTTTTTGCTCCAAATGAAGAGTAGAATCGATTCCCTGAGTTTTGTCAGAAGGAACTGGGACACCTTGTATTATTTACGCAAAAGGACTAGAAAGCGTCTGCACATGTCTCTAACTGTCAGTAGTAAAATCATCGGACTTTTTTTATGGTCCAGAACCAATCACAAACTTGGTTTGGAAATGTGATGGAACAACCGACTGACAGTTTAAATAGCGCATGTGACTGCTCATCGTAGGTGTAGCACAGTCAGTTTGAAATATTACTATTTCATTTAATTTGACATAATTATTGTGTGGTGATTAGTGACCGTTAATCGATGATTATTTAGAAATCGTGAGATGCAGTCTGGTGTGATGTAGGTTTCACAAAAACATTTTCTTTATCGTGTCAACGTTTTGATCTTTATTGAGATCATCTTCAGGGCCTGGGATTTACAAACATTGTTTACATTTAACAAATACACGTAGGATGTGGAAAAAAGTGAATTTATGCAATGCAAATTATATTTTTTTTATTCAATCAAAGTATTTCTACTCACTCAAAGTGTTTGTCTTCTGTGTAATTGTGCCATTCTTGCATGTCGTGTTGAGAGTGCCAGTGAGATATTGCTGTTTTATGTTTATATACGTTGGATTTTGAAGGGGTGGGGAAGGAAGTCGGTATAGAAAAGACAATTTTGTATAAGGCGTCGGCTTTTTTGAGGTGAAAAGAGCCGACGAAGGGAAAAAAAACATTGGTAATGGTTCGGCCAGATTATCCTTTCAGGATTATATAGAAGGGGATAAATAGGAAAAGGAAAGCTAAATTGTTGAAAAATTAGACTATGTGAAAAATTTTTGATGTGTGGAATGTGATGTGAGGATATGTTATCTATATTGAATTTGATTAATGATATTGGCATAGTTGAGACAGTTTACATGTATCTGTTCTGTAATTTGATGCTGTGTTTATCTCTGTTGATGTAAACCATTTCTAAAAAATTACGTTTATGTTTGTTTTGTTCTGTGTGTAATACTTTTCAATTGTTGAAGTTGAAATTGTGTTTGTGTTCGAAATGGTGGGTAGCAAGTGCTGTAGGATTTGGCTTGGGTTTTTTGCAATCATAGATATGTTGCTTTACTTGTCCAGATATTGGGATGCAAGACCGATGTAAGTTGCCGGACAGTTTAAACAGTTGATTTTGTAGATTACATCAGATTTATTTGTTATTGGTGTGGGATCTTTAATTTTGGAAAATTGTTTGAATTGTTTTATAATTTTTGAAAGCTACGTTGGTTAGGTATTTTGTCATGTTATATGTGGGGGAGTTTACAAATGAAATTATGGGTCTTAGAAGGTGTTCGGGTTTATGTGTTTTTACAGATCCATATAGTTTTCGGGGGTGTTGGTGAGTTGTTTTGAAGTGATTTGTAGGTGTACATGTCGATTTCTTTTCGTTTAAGTGTTTCTTGGAGAATTTTGTTTGTCTCTTTGATGAGAGAAGGGGTAGGGTGATTATGCTGTATGTGTTTGTGTCTGTGATAATTTTGTTAATTTTTTCCCTGTACTCTTTTTTCCTGATTGCTACTGTTTGTTTTGTTTTATCAGCAGAAAAAATGAGTATGTCATGATTATTTTTGAGAAAATTTTTGGTTTTGGTATATGCTTGTTGAGATATGTTGTGTTGATTTGCAGTGAGGTGTTGTAAGTGATTTGTAATTGTGTTAATGCATTTGGATCGTGTTATGTCTTTTTCTTCCTCTGTTTTGGTGGATTTTTGGATTGCATAGTCTAGATCCGTCATTAATTTAGCTGTTGGAAAATCTGTTTTGTTTTAAGGAATGGAATGTTAGTTTTGGTTAGGTTTAGGAACCATTTGTTTGTGTTAACAGGTATTTGTAGATTAAGTTATTCAATTTTTTAATGTGTTTGTTTTTAATTTGGTCAAAGTGGACATTGAATGCATCTTTTTGATGTGTAATTTTTTTTTAAATGTGTAGGTATTATGATGGCAGCACTGAGTTTTAATTGGTGTAATTTTTGTGTTCCCAGGCCCTGAAGATGATCTCAATAAAGATTGAAACGTGGCACGATAAAGAAAATGTTTTTCTGAAACCTACGTCACACCAGATCGCATCTCACGATTTCTGAATCTGAATTGTGTTGAGAAAGCATTGCTGGGGGAAAATTTGCAACCTATTTGTACACGCCTACACCATTAAAGAGAAACAATTGTCATTTTATTCTGTCAAGACTCTTGACAACAGGAAGATTGACAAGTATTAGGGAAAATGGAAAAATTAATGAAAAAATCAGGCTACGGCTGCACCCACTAAGCTCACTTAATTGTTCAGTTCATTCTTCCGTTGAGGCTTCTGTTAAATTGGAATTATACCGAACAGTTTTGAAGACTTAAATGGGAAAAATTATAATTATTTAATTCACAGCAAGAAGAAACAAGTCTCGGTGGGAGGGGGGAATGGGAAAACCAATGTAAAACTGATTTTTGGGGTCTCAAACTGGACAAAAACTAGTATTTCGTGTTTCTTTGTATAAGAAATGGCTGAAATTTTTAAATTACCTGTCTCTAGGAACCCATTCGTCTAGTCTTCTGTTGTAGCCTTCGTAGTGGACGTAATATTCGTAATGGTTCTCCTGATCGTTAAACCTCGACTGGATTATCTCGGCAGGGACTAAAATCGAGGCAATCAGTGAAAATGTGCTAGGCCGTGTTAGAAAATTTTGGTGTTTTCAACTCACGCCAGTCGTCGGATTTTCGCCGGACGAGGTAATGTTCGCCTATGTCGAGCGGCTGTTCCTCCAGCGACTCTGCGTCCTCGTCGGTTTTCTCCTTTTTCTCATAGTTCTCGCTGTTTGCGCCGACCATCATCTGCGAAGGGGCGAACGATGAACAAATCGCGAACAACACAAAAACTGAGGTTAAACGCGCCTTAAGCTAGACAATGCGTTAATACCTCGCCGACGGACTGGAGACAGGGCTGCCAACGTCGTTCATGAACATTTCCTACTCAAAACGTCCGTCATCTTGCCGCGGCCCCTTCCCAAATTGAAATTTTTCGTGAGTTGAGTATGTTTAACTGTTACAATGTCCCATATATTTAATAACCAACCAATTATTGAACTTATTATCGTAAATAAAATAAATACTAAAAACTATGTGTTGTATTTAGTGAATTAATAAGGAAACAGTTTTAGTTTGATAATTATTGTTTTAAAATTTAAGTTTTAGGCATATAAATTTTAAAAAATCATTAAGCAAGTTCATCATTAAAGACGTCCTGTAAAAGGTGATCGATAGCAATCAACTTTTTAAAAATATCTGTAAAAGTCACATTTTTATAAATTTCAAACTCGTAAAGTTGTATTAAGTCAGAAATCTTCCACGGCGTATGATTTTATAATGAAGAAGCACGTTGGAAACTGATTAAATATTGGATTTCTTGAATCAACGAGCATCTAGTTATTTACACAATTTAAGGACAATGCACAGCTGTAAATTTGTTAAACCAGAATATTACACAATACGGGCCTGTACACGAACTGTGATAATCAAGAAGTATTACGATGCGGTCTGCTATTTCTGACTAACTGATAATACCCAGGTCTGGTAATCGGTATGCTATCTCGAAAAATCTTTTCTGTTTCCTTTCCAAGTGTTATTTGATTACAATGCAAATGTTGACACCAAACACGGAAACTAAGGAACAAGATTGAGAAAAAAAAGTGACAAAGTTGGATAAAATTCAAACACATTGACAATAATGATTACGATTAATACTACTACTATCATGATTATTGGGAGGGGGGTCGGTGACCGTGGTTTAGGCGTTGACACGGCGCTCATCACTGTAAGGTAAAGGTCCCGGGGTCGAATCCAACGGACCTGAATTCGAACCCGACATACTTGAAATTTTTTTTTTCTTCAAAAACACCGGCACCCTGAGGGTTTATATGACCTCTGCTGTTGCGAGAAAAAAAAAAATTATACAAAATCTATCTTCTCTGCGGCCATTTATTTTGGCTCTCTCTCTCTNGTTCATCTTTTACCATTTCCTCTCTGCTTTCGCTTTATACGCTCGTTCTAGGAACGAGCTTTGCGAATGAATGATCAATTTTCCCAAGTTGTCAGAAGTAGGCGATACATTTCTGTATACTAAACGAGAATTGGCAGGAAAATAATGGCGTAAAAACGGGATGCTCGAAACGAATTCTTCACACCACAACAGGTCATTGACAATCCGTCCTATTAAGAAACATACGTATTTTAGGAGGAGGAAGGAAAGCAACTTTGCGGAAGAGCGTAGTGTATCATGAAAGGCACAGCCCAAGTTTTTATGAAGTAATAAATGATATGAAGCCATACGTAAAAAGACATAGATAAAAATGCTAGCACAATCAAAGCGACCGCCAAATTGCTGGATTCACCTTTGCAGCAGGTAACGTCCAAGAATAATAGAATGGGACTGGACGTCGTTAACATATGCTGGAGCCAAGCCGGATAATCTGCTGCACCAAGTAGTTCGGGATTTTTCAGAGTAATTATCCAGTACATGGTGGCGTTGAACATTCCAACCGGTATAGCGATAGACGAACGGAAAATAGATCTCGCCGTCACCATCATGGTAGGAGCATCCATATACGAGGCATTGATCATAGTATCAACGGTGAGTGCGACGAAGTGATAAATAGATTGGATTAAGGAATTCAGAGTATTTACGTATTTCAAGGCGTTACCGAACTTTGTAAAATAATCCGCGCCCGGTGTGATAATTGAATAGTACATACGTGCAACCGTTGCCAAAGAACTGACGAAGAAACCCGAACTATGAACAACTGTGGATACGAAGAAAAAAGTAAATTTATGTCTCCTTTCGCACCGATCTCCATTTAGTCTACAAATCCAAACCGTCAATATAATTATTTTTCATTACGCCTTGCTTTCTATTTTTTATAAACTACGTGTCCGTTTAGATTTATAATGTCGTTGTGTTCACCGACTCGAATATCTATCAACCGAAAGTTCAGACTATGACCCGTATTTACCTAAATATATTTTGTATTTTAAAAAATCCGAATTGACATCTGATTAAATAATACAAAGTGCTTGCTTACATTATTAAACACTAATCTACACTAATATTATAAAGAGGTGAGTTTGGTTTATATGTAAGTAATACCGATATTTACTGGTCCGATTTTGTTGAAACTTTTTCAGACGCATTCTGTATGATCATAGGAAGGACAAAGACCTTTTTGTTCATGTTATGTTTTCATAAGACATTTTCTTAAAGTTGTTAAAAAATAAAACTTTACACTTATAAGCAGGTAAATATGGATGTTTATTTCTCTCCATATTACACCCAAAACTTTTGACTAATGTTTAAAAAAACAAAAACATTCGGTTTAAATTTGATATTCAGTCAGCTAGTAGTAGTTAATCTTTTTATTTTTCTGCTTTTTTTACAACTGCATTCTTTGCTGCAACAAGTCAAACATATCCTAACATAATCCTAAAACGGAGAACACACCCGATGCAACGTTACCAGACGCAAATCCAAAGTCCAATTTTCCATAAGATTGTATTACCCCCGTGCACATCTGCCCGATGCCATGCAACTCTACCCTATTTTACGCTATGCGCTCCCCACTGTCCAGATTTTCGTCGGGTAGCATCGAGTACAGTCGAAGGCAAAAGAACCAGACACTCATATTTTTATTGCAAGCTATATGTATTATTGTCGTTATATTAATTGCAACATACTTATTTTAATATAAACCAAATTAAGCGAGATCAAAAATTCATTAGTTTTTATTTAAAAAAATTAATTTTAATGATTTGGCAGAAAATTGATCAAAACAGCGGAATACGATTTATGGTTCGAATGAATTTAACTATTTATTAAATGAATTTGCTCATAAAATTTATTACACGATTTTGTTCATAAAATTGAACTAAATATTTATTTCATGGATTCGCTCATAAAATTGAACTAAATATTTATTTCATGGATTCGCTCATAAATTTTAACTAACACTTGCTTACATGATTTTGTTCATACAATTTAAGTGAACTAAATATTTATTTCATGGATTCGCTCATAAAATTGAACTAAATATTTATTTCATGCATTCGCTCATAAATTTTAACTAACACTTGCTTACATGATTTTGTTCATACAATTTAAGTAACAATTTATTTCATGGATTTGCTCATAAAATTTAACTGACAATTTATTACATGATTTTGTTCATAAAATTCAACCAAAAAATTATTTCATGGCTTTGCTCATAAAATGACACCATTTTCGTTGTGTAGCGTCAGAACCGGACATTCATAATTTTTGTAGTTTATTTCGAACTATTTTTATGTAATTTTGTCGTTATATTAATTAAAACATGCTTATTTTAATGTAAACTAAATTAAACGAGATCAAAAATTCATGAGTTTTTATAAAGATTACTTAATTATGATGGTTAGGAAGAAAATTGATCAAAACACCGGAATAACTCAATTTATTTCAAGGTTTTGCTCAAAATAGTGCATTAAGAACAAAAGAGGCGTTGCGATTGTCATACTGATTATTGTAATAGATGTGCACACCCTGCCAAAATCGGACAAAGCGTCGGGTAGCATCGGGTAAGTGTGTTCCCCGCTTAACTGTTAAAAAGGCCCAAGTTGTAGACCCACCCAAAAAAATTAGCCTATCAATGTAATGATATCTACACTGTCGCCAAGTCCGTTTATTTTTAGTCTATAAACTGAGAGAAGTAAAAAACAAAGATAAAAGTCCGAGGCTTTTCTATACAACATTCTGTAAAATCTTATACATTCTGAAAATAAACAAACTATAAAAGAAAGGAAGAACTCAGGAGCGCATCACATACAATGCTATAAACAAGGCTCCAAAACAAACGAAGGAACCGGATCTGGAGTTTTCTGTACAAGCCCAAAATAGGAGCGTTCAAAATCATTAGGGAAGTCCACTTCTTCTTTCAAGCAAAAATACATGCCAACAATGATTGTACTCTAAAACATCTTAAAAGAGGCTAAACTGGTAAAAAATCCTCGTAAGATCTGATAGCCAAGCAGCCATTAAAGCATTAAAATGTAAAAGAATTATATCAAAATTAGTCAGTGAAATCATCCAAAATCTCCATAACCTGGGGAAACACAACAACCTGATTATGTATTGGATGCCAGGGCACAGAGGAGTTTTGGGTAACGAGGAAGCAGACAGGCCAGAGGAGGGTCCGCAAGACCATACATACATATATATACTTGGAATAACAATAATCCTCCATCGCAGAATGGATCCAAACAAAACAAAAGAGAAGTAGGTAAAGTCTAGCGGTGCTAGACTTAGTAAACTTATGGTGAAACAACCCTCAACAAGACTGGCAAAAGCACTGCTGCAATTGGAGAGGGCCAAAGTCAGAGGAGTGGTAGGACTACTAACCGGTCACTGGCAAAACAGAAAACATCTACCCAACATGGTATATACAACGATGATCCTATTTGCAGATTATGTAATGAGGAGGAAGAAACAGCCACTCATATCATATTCGAATGCGAAGCAACAGCTCAATGGAGATTTAACCTAACATACGGAAAAAACTTAGGGAATCAAATTGCAGCAGCGACAGTCAATGACCTGATACTTCTAAGAAGAAGGATTGAGTCTATTGCACTGAACTAAGGAACTAGGAATGTACAATAAGCCAGAAAGCTGCAGTGCCTAGGGAGTGCAAACCCCGATCCCTACTATCCTTTTTTACCATACCATTTTGAATGCCGTTGTTACGTTCGTAAAACGTAACATAGTATAAAAACATAACATTTTATGAGTGTATTGTAGTTGTTTGGACAGAGATGCCTCCTTAATTGTAATGCCACCTAAACTAAAATTGGCGGTGGGTTAATCAAAATTAAGACGGTCTAGGATAGGCTTATGAGAGAGGAGAGGAGTAAAGAAAAAGCGAGGAGAGTGTGCGTCGAGACGGATATCCCTACGGCCTGGCCGGATCAAAGAAAATCAACGAAGGCGATCGCGGACCCACTCAACTTCAGCGAAGGTGCTCCACATTCCTAGAAGCGGGGATTTTCAAGCGCCTGGAAAAGAAGAATATCTGGACACTGGTTCCCAGGAAAGCTTAGTTTTAAGGAACGTTTATTTAGATTTTATGATAATTTAGGTTCCTTTAGTGTGTAAGTTCATTAAAATGTTACCCGTAGAGAATTAAGATTAGTCTATGTTTAATATTTTAGTTTCCGTTGGAATAAATGTGTTTTTTTGTTTCCTTATGTAAATATTGTTTTTTTTTTTTTTAATTAATTTTACTGTTATTGAATTTTCTTTGTTTTATTTTATTTTATTTTTCTTTATTTACGGTTCGCTGTTTCCGTGTATATAAACAGCGTGGCGCCCATTTGTTAAAAATTTAATATTAAGTACATCATTGTTAATTCATTAAGTAACCCCGCCCGTCTCCACGGAGCGAAGCCGGCAAATTCTCGGCGTAAGACCGTTATTACATCAATATGATGAGTGAGATGGACTCCATCCTAGGAGACCGATGTCATGTATGGAGGTTGTGGTGGGGCCAGTTATTCTTGTTTTCTGTGCTAATTATTGTGTAACATGGTGGATGACAGGTTTGTGACGAAAGGGTTCAGATATTGGGAAGGTTTGGAATGGAACCATTTACAGCGGGATTGAGCTAGAGTAGAAATTACTTAAATGGTCGCTACAATTGTACCACCGAGGCTGTTTGGAGATTGCTAGAATGGTATGATAATGATATGATATATGATATATGATAACTGTTCTATTCTACTGCTAGTATTCTGCTCTTCTTAAAATCGGGACATTTTTTATGTAACGAGCTGGTATCAACGTTTTGATAACTTTGCAATCATGAATGTGTGATAGTGACTACGAGAGTAGGTTTGTGTCGCGATACACTTTCAGCTATCAGGCCCAGATAGTGTGAGTCCTATGGCTGTACGATATCACGATGGTTATACGGTGAGAGCTTACGATAGTCGCTTTCACAACAGCAACTCTCACAAGACGTATAATCGTGTAAACGGAGTTTATGTAACCAGACCCACATTTTTAACTTCTTATTGCTTAAGAACGTTATGTGGACTATAAGTCGCAAGGTAAAATGCGACCCAAGTCGTGGGTTTTTCGATAAATTAGATCAATGTGTTAGGCGCGACGACAATAAAAATAAATGTAATCATATGTACAAAAACAAGTAACTTTTATTATATTTTATTTCCTTTGTTAGTTTTTTTTGGTCGGTCTACAAACATGCTTCCTGTTCTACTCAATAGTCGTTTAAGTTTGGCTGAATTCACAGATGGTTTACCAAAAATGAAACGAGGAGGTACGGAGACGTATTTTCGTAAAAACGGTAGGCCTGAGACAAACTCTTCGTCCCACAAAAGATCATTGAAAAGCTTGCCCACGAGGAAAAATGCATATTCTACAAGCACAAAAAAAACGTAGGACGCTAGCTTTTGCGGAAGCGTAAGATTTTTTAGGAAAGAGATCGCCCACACGCCTGTGAAGTGGTAGATGAGATGAAGCCATATCAAGAAAAGGAAAGATGAAATACCTAACATACACATCGCAATGATCACGTTGACAGAATCACCCTTGCAGCTGATAACATCAAAAAATAAAATAATAGGAACCATCGTATATAACGTATGTCGTAGCCAAAGCGGATACTCGGATTTAACCAGCAGATCGGCACTTTTTAGGCTCAATGCCCAGTACGCGATGCAGTTGAACGTTCCAATTGGTATAGCGAATGCCGATCTGATGAACGCCCTTACCTCCACACATCCGGGCGGTGCATCCATGGTGTACGAACAACTGATCATAATATCGACGGTAAGTGCAATGAGGTGATAAATAGATTGCATCAAGGCATTCAGGGAATTTAAGTATTTGAAGGAATAAGCGAATTTTGTAAAATAATCCTGTTTAGGCTTATTAATCTCGTGGTACAAGCGAAGAAATAGCGCTATTGATAAGATGAGGAAGCCAAATGTATGTACAGCTGTGGACACCATGAGAAAGGTAAATGGATTTCTTCTTTCGCACATGACCTCCATTTAGCCTACAAACTCAAAACACAAGTTGGTTACATATGAATACACCAATTTTTCAGTAGAAACCTTGTCTTCTTTTTCTTCTACATCTCTTTTGGATTTGAAATATTGCAGTGTTAATTGATATAATAAATGGGTCCTCGAAAATTTCTGAGATAACAAATTGATTTAGTAACAAACAATAAAAAAAAGTTTAAATATTTACTTACATTAAATGATCAGGGACCTCCCCCTTTAAAACTTTTAACTTTCCTAAAATAAAAACCAGATGTCAATTTTCAATTACCATTTCTTCATTTGAGAGTTTTGTGTTTTCAAAATTTCACCCATGCCATGATTTTATCTACCAATCATTGTGCAAAAGATCATAATTAACATCTGACTTAAATAATTTTGTATTTTTAATTTATTTATTGCTTGCTGTAGAAAATATACATACCTTGAGCAGTGTAGTGAAACTCCTGTTGTATATTAAAATAAAATCTTCGAAAGTTTTTATTTATTGAATCTTACCTACTGTCCAAAAATAAACAACTATTAAGGGGGACTTAACTTGCTGGAGTTATATATTTTTATAAAATAAAGTATTTCCTTGTACTTGAGAAGTTATATAATGTATTCTATAAGAATAACAAGATTCTTTAATTCTTTTTTTTTAAACAAACAAACAAATTAAAAAAACTTAACATACAAAGGTACATGTGCATTGAGCAAAATTTCAGAAAACTAAGTACATACGCGCTTGCTATAGTATAAATAGTATCCTTTGAATATCTTATATCAATTTAATTAGGGAAAGATTACAAATTAAAATTTATGGTTGATAATTTTATTGTATAATTGTATGTAAGTTGATAATTCTTGCCTCGTTCTGCTGATCCTGTAGAGAGAAGAAAACTGGTTTCGAAAAAACAGATTTGTTTTATTTTCTTATTCGAAGTCGAGGAAATGCTATTCTGGAATATTGGTCTCCGATGTGTGAAACGAGTCCATAAAGTCCTATGGATATAAGGAGGGAGATATTTGTATCAAATATATAAAAGTTAGTTCAAGAACAAAACATGTGATGTTGTAAGAAAAAAGTTAGTAAAACAAAGGGCTTGAAATTGAAACAGGTTTTTGTAACTTTACTGATTTACAAGAACAATTACATATAAATTTATTGAGATGTTTATTTTACTAACACTTCCGAGTATGAAGTACGGGATAAGTACAATATTGATGTGAGAAGTGGGCGAGTTAACAATCGGTTTCTTCGAGCATACAGATGTTACCATTTTAAAAATACATATGTGCGAAGTAAAATTTCTATCTGAAAAATTACGAAATTATGAGAAAATTCTAAATATGTAAAGTTCATCTTTTACCATTTCCTCTCTGCTTTCGCTTTATACGCTCGTTCTAGGAACGAGCTTTGCGAATGAATGATCAATTTTCCCAAGTTGTCAGAAGTAGGCGATACATTTCTGTATACTAAACGAGAATTGGCAGGAAAATAATGGCGTAAAAACGGGATGCTCGAAACGAATTCTTCACACCACAACAGGTCATTGACAATCCATCCTATTAAGAAACATACGTATTTTAGGAGGAGGAAGGAAAAGTATAAAGCCACCTTTTGCGGAAGAGCGTAGTGTGTCATGAAAGGCACAGCCCAAGTTTTTGTGAAGTAATAAATGATATGAAGCCATACGTAATAAGACATAGATAAAAATGCTATCACAATCAAAGCTACCGCCAAATTGGTGGATTCACCCTTGCAGCAGATAACGTCCAAGAATAATAGAATGGGACTGGACGTGGTTAACAGATGCTGAAGCCAAGCCGGATAATCTGCTGCACCAAGTAGTTCGGGATTTTTCAGAGTCATTATCCAGTACATGGTGGCGTTGAACATTCCAACCGGTATAGCGATAGACGAACGGAAAATAGATCTCGCCGTCACCATCATGGGAGGAGCATCCATAGTATACGAGGCATTGATCATAATATCAACGGTGAGTGCGACGAAGTGATATATAGATTGGATTACGGCATTCAGAGTATTTACGTATTTCAAGGCGTAACCGAACTTTGTAAAATAATCCGCGCCCGGTGTGATAATTGAATAGTACATACGTGCAACCGTTGCCAAAGAACTGACGAAGAAACCCAAACTATGAACAACTGTGGATGCAAAGAGAAAAGTAAATTTATGTCTCCTTTCGCACGCGATCTCCATTCAGTCTACAAATCCAAACCGTCAATATAATTATTTTTCATTACGCCTGGCTTTCTATTTTTTATAAAATACGTGTCCGTTTAGATTTATAATGTCGTCGTGTTCACCGACTTGAATATCCATCCTGTGAAAAAAAATGCTAATATTTATAAAGACCGAAAAACATATTATTGCTTTGAAGTAATGTTTACTCATAAAAACAACCACATCCGTTGTAGTACCAAATCTGCCAAAGTTCGTATTTACATTTCCATCAACCGAAAGTTCAGACTATGTTTGACCCGTATTTACCTAAATATATTTTGTATTTAAAAAAATCCGATTTAACATCTGATTAAATAAAACAAAGTACTTGCTTACAATATTAAACACTAATCTACACTAATATTATAAAGAGATGAATTTGGTTTATATGTAAGAAATCCCGAAATTTAATAAATTTCTCTCCATTTGACTTTTGTCTTGAAGCTTTTGACTAATGTTTAAAAAAACAAAAACATTCGGTTTAAATTTGATATTCAGCCAGCTAGTAGTAGTTAGTCGTTTTATTTTTCTGCTTTTTTTACAATTGCATTCTTTACTGCAACAAGTCAAGCATATCCTAGCATAATCCTAAAACGGAGAACACACCCGATGCAACGCTACCAGACGCAAATGCAAAGTCCAATTTTCCATAAGGTTGTATTATCCCCGTGCACATCTGCCCGGTGCCATGCAACTCTACCCTATTCTACGCTATGCACTCCCCACTGTCCAGATTTTCGTCGGGTAGCATCGAGTACAGTCGAAGGCAAAAGAACGAGACACTCATATTTTTATTGCAAGCTATATATATTATTGTCGTTATATTAATTGCAACATACTTATTTTAATATAAACCAAATTAAGCGAGATCAAAAATTCATTAGTTTTTATTTTAAAAAATTAATTTTAATGATTTGGCAGAAAATTGATAAATACAGCGGAATACGATTTATTAATAGATTGAATTTAACTAACCATTTATTGCATGGATTTGCTCATAAAATTTAAGTAAAATTTATTGCAGAATTCCGCTCATAAAATTTAACTAACAATTCTTTCATGGATTCGCTCGTAAAATTTAACTAGCAATTTAGTACACGATTTGGCTCATAGAATTTAACTAACAATTTATTTCATGGATTCGCTCATAACATTTAACTAACAATTTATTACACGAGTTTGTTCATAAAATTTGACTAACAACTTATTTCATGGATATCTGAATAACTATCGATTAACGGTCACTAATCTCTACACACTTATTTCATGGATTTGTTCATAAAATTAAGTAACAATTTATTACAAAATTTTGCACAAAAAAATTTAAAAAACAATTTATTTCATGGATTCGCTTATAAAATTTAACTAGCAATTTATTTCATGGATTTGCCCATAACATTTAACTAACAATTTATTACATTGTTTTGTTCATAAAATTCAACCAAAAAATTATTTCATGGTTTTGCTCATAAAAGTACGCCCTTTTCGTCGGCTAGCGTCAGAACAGGACACTCATATTTTTTGTAGTTTATTTCAAACTATGTTTATGTAATTTTGTCGTTATATTAATTACAACATGCTTGGGGCCTGGGGAGTGCAAACCCCGATTCCTACTATCCTTTTTTACCATACCATTTAGTTTGGATGCCGTTATTACATCAATATGATGAGTGAGATGGACTCCATCCTAGGAGACCGATGTCATGTATGGAGGTTGTGGTGGGGCCAGTTATTCTTGTTTTCTGTGCTAATTATTGTGTAACATGGTGGATGACAGGTTTGTGACGAAAGGGTTCAGATATTGGGAAGGTTTGGAATGGAACCATTTACAGCGGGATTGAGCTAGAGTAGAAATTACTTAAATGGTCGCTACAATAGTACCACCGAGGCTGTTTGGAGATTGTTATAATGGTATGATAATGATATGATATATGATAACTATTCTATTCTACTGCTAGTATTCTGCTCTTATTAAAATCGGGACAATTTTTAAGTAACCCGCTAGTATCAATGTTTTGATAACTTTGCAATCATGAAAGTGTGATAGTGACTACGAGAGTAGGTTTGAGTGTCGCGATATACTCTCAGCTATCAGGCCCAGATTATGTGAGTACTATGGCTGTATGGTATCACGATGGTTATACGGGGTGTGCTTACGATAGTCGCTTTCACAACAGCAACTCTCACAAGCCTCTCACAGCCGGCCTGCTGAGTCGAATGCAACAAGAATTAAGCTTGTAAAACCCCGTAATTTTCGGGATAAACGCAATAAAAAATATTTTTATATTGGACGTAAAACGACCTGCAGTTTTTGATGGGTGGGAATATTGTGATAAACGTTAAAAATATGTGATTTAACTTTCAACACTATCTGGGGTTTTATAGCTTTTTGACAGTTTAACTAAAGAAAAATTCTCGTAGAAATGAAGTTTTTTCAGAATCACTGTGGACCAAAATCTTCCACTTTTAGCTAAAAGATATATTGTGTAAATAATCCTTCTTTACTTTTAAACACTTAAGGCAGTTTAGCACAATCCGCGATTCCTCTTTGCATTTTTTTTGGCGTCAATATTTCGCCAAAACTTTTCAGTCCCATCCTCCGATCTCTCTGCTTCTTCATGACAGAATCGTCAAGTTTTTTAACGAGGTAATTAAATTGGCAATGGCTAGTACAAAGGCATATTATTTTCTTTAATTCTAAGAGGTAGATTTTTCTTGGTTGAGATGTTGATGGGCTTATTTTTATCATTTTTAACCTGGTAAGTTTATCCAACGTGTGGTAATTTTTTTCTATATTGACGTGTCAACTTGCGGTTCCGGTTCAAGGTGCTCTTGCCTTTACTAATTTGTCAGCCTGTTTGTTTCCTTCTAGAGCTGGAGATATTAAGCATTCTCAGACCAGCTTTGAGCTAAAGATTAATGTTTGAGGCCTAAGTTTAAGAAATGCGACTTAAGAAAGTTCAGACGCTATCTCTTTCGACTCAAGCCTTTCCTTTGCGGAAAACATCTAATTTTAAATTTTACAAATTCAACCAAAGATTTCCATCTCGTATTTTTTCTTAACTAGCTTAATGTGAGCAAGTTTTACGTTTTTTTTAATTCACCTTATTTTTGATATCCACAGAAAATATTTGGTAACGTGTTGGGCAGCATAAGTAAATAACCAATTACGATTTTTTTGTCTTTAATATAAAATAAATTTTCGATCATTTTAAAATTTTTGTAAATAAATTTCAAAAACTGCAATGTACAACAACATATAATTGTTATATAAAAATCAAAGTTAAGTTGTTAATACAAATTTCATTCTACATAAAAAATAACGTAGACATTTTTGAAAATATCTTTAATTTTAACAAATTTAAACGACATTGACACTCCTACACAAGCCGGAGCACATTGATTTTACAAATATAAATTTAAATTTTCTTTTAAGGAAAACATTTCACAAAAATGAATTAACTCAAAGTCATTTAATTTCTATACTCTATCTAACAGTAGAGAAAATATATAATTTTATTTAATGCTCACTTAAAGTACATTATTGTACTGTACATCACTTTTAATATTAGAAAACACAAATAAAAAAATAAGAAAAAAACTTGGTCTGTCTATATTAGCTGGGCTAATAGGTCGGCATTTCGTCATCTTCAGTGAGTTGTCTTTTGACCAGCTCACACAGTCCAACCCAGAAATAAACATAGACAGGCCGAGATGATCGGTTAAGATTAAATTACAGTCACAATACAGATCATAGGAAAACATTTATGAAACATTTTTCGTTTTTTATGTAAAGAAATATTTTTGTGAATAAATACTGGAAAACAGATTTAAATGTGTATTTGTTGTAAATAATCATTAAAAATTTTCAGGATTAATACTAATAAAATGTCATTATAAACGATAACATAAACAAGAGCCCATTGCGATTCGTGGTCCGATTGACCAATTAACATTTTTCAATTAATTAATATTTATGGAAGGTATTGGTTGAGATAAAAAAAGTCAGTGTCACGAGCGGGATTCGAACCCGCGACCTTCGGCTAAATACGCCGCTACTCTACCACTTGAGGTCGTGGGTTCGAATCCCGCTCGTGACACTGACTTTTTTATCTCAACCAATGCCTTCCATAAATATTAATTAATTGATAAACAAGTGCTTTTTTTTTCTTACTCCTAAAAATACATTTTACAATGATAGCGACAATTCAAATAGATTTACATTAGCATCTGATCGTCATATACAATAAATATACGTTTATTAGGAGTAGTTAACAAAGATAAAATAATTTGATTTACACAAAAATAGAATAGGAATTTATCTTCAAGTTTTCTTTCTATTCTTAACCTAGCGATAAATATTAGGGTTTGTTGAAATTAATGATGGCCTAGGTCGATGCTCTGGTAAAGTAACCCTAAAGATTTAAAAATTTTAAATATTTAACATTNTATATATATATTTATATATATATCGTCAACCCTGTAGTCCAGATTCTGTTGAACACTGTTTTGTTTTTGGCCAGTTCTTGTTCAGATGTAGTACTCTCTCACCTGTAAGAAAAAAAAGCTCCGTTTGATTTATTTCCTAGACTAAATTTAACATCCAAAGCATCATTTTGCATTTTTCCCAATACAAGAAGGCTTAATTTTTAAAATAATTGTGCGAACCCGATTTAAAGAAAAATAATAATTTCTACCATATCAAACACATATAGAGCATCAGGAGCAGATTAGTTAACAAATTAATGATATATTGATAAACATACCTAATCCAGATCCAGATGCCTTATATGAATGTCTACAGCTATCGCTGAATGAAAACATTTTTCATTCCTTCATTGCATTTTTTTATTGTTGAGAAAATTTGCATGCTTTTTGGGTGTTTAAGCAAAGGCAGGTTTTGCCTTCTTTTTTTTTCTTGATAACGTGACTAAATGATTCAACGAATTGTGCATTTTTGGCAACACACAAAAACTTTATCATAAAATTTTCCAATACTCATACATTGGACATGTAGGAAAAATTTTGCTTATGCAAATGCCACTCCGCTTTACAAATTACACTTATCTAAATATAATAATTAAATATACATCAAAAAGTAAAACACAAACATCCCAAATTGTTAAATTTCTTCAGAAAATCTCTTATTTTTTTATTCTTCATGTACAAGTAAAACTATATGAAAAAAAGTATATATGCTGACACTGCGTTACGTTATATTTATTACAAGGGTTTTTTGAGCAGAGGGAAAAAGAAAGATAAGTATGATAGAAGAAGTTAGCGAACCG